TTTTTTTTTTTAAATAGGAACCTCTAAATGGTTGGAAATGGCACTCTACAGCTGTGACAGACATGTTTTTGCTTGGTGTAGGCCTTTTTTAAATTTTTTTTTGGTCCAACTGCTTGACTGGTCTGACTGCCTGGGATCCTTGACTTGTGTGAGGGGGGGCTTAAGCCCCCTGCCCTTCCCCTTGGCACCACCACTGTAAAGAGTATTTATGCACATCCTTGCAGCCTGACTGGAATATTTGATAAGGAAATGAGGATGAACATGTGGGTGTTGGCATGGATATGGGTTGGAATATTCCATTATTGTTTAGTGATATCCATTTAAGGAACAATGGATATAGTCAGTTTATTTAGTTATTAACTTAATTATGAAAATAAACAAAAATAATGCATAAAATCTTACAAGAGCACTGTATACAGTACATGAGCTGGTTCTGGTCTACATGTTTGCATAGAGCATGTGCAACAGAGTGGTTCCCATGGGAACAAACAGCCCGATATAGCTGTAATGTCTTGTTGTGGAATCTAAAAAAAAAATAATGAAAATATTATATAACAATTATTCATAAATATATATATAACTATAAATATGCGTATTAAGCATACTGGGTCCGATCAGAATATAAGAGGCTTGATAAAAAATATATTTCACGGTATAGAAAATAATACCATAACTTACTCTAAAAGATTGTCATGTTCAATTAACTCTAGAATGTCTAAACTACGATTTTCCTCCGGAATATGAACAGCCAACCAGGACACTAGAAAATAACAGAAGAATAAAAAAACATTAAATATAAAAATATCAAATTCTCTGACATATCACTTTATGTTAATTACAAAGATTGAGGCACTCTGTGACATCATGACTTCCTATTTGCATATGCAACTTAGTTCAAACTGAATATGTTTTTCTATTGGTCCCTTACCTGGATCACTTAAGGAAACTACCCAGCCTGAGCTGTCTGACACTTTCTTAGATTCGATGTCAGGGACCTTGTTAGGAACACGCGCCCAGGAGAAAGACTGCATCGCTTGCACCTTGACCCTCGAAGGGCATTGGCCGATCGTGTTACCAGCCTCGCCACGAAACCAGCTAGCAGACAAAGGAAGGCAGTTCTATAGTTTTCAGAATAAAGATAAAATTGCTTAGATTCCAATGATATTTATTTTATTTTAATCAAGAAAAAACCTATTTCTGTATCTAAAAACATATTTTTTATTAAAAAGTTGATTATCCTCAAACCTAAAGGTCCACTGACTATGTTCAAAATAAAATAAAACAAAAGTGACTCCAAATAGAGAAAGTGAGACCATGGCCTCATTTCTCTATTAGGAGTCACTTTTGTTTTATTTGATTATCTTCATTATAACTAAAGAAAAAACCAGTTGATTTACTCTATATAATTACACTCAATTACAAATGGAATCCTTAAACAAAATACTTTATTTAAAAAATTAATAGCATCAATTCACTTAAATAATTAGGGAAAAGCTGATTATAACAGTGGTGTTATATTTCATAGTAATATTTTTATTTACTGAAATATAAATAACAATAATAATATATACAATAATTTCCTATTACCTTTGACCTTCCTAATTCAAATTGCAGCATTTCATTGGTGCTAGGGGCAACGACAACGGCTGGATATAGTCTGGTGGTAGATTCAACCTAGAAAAACAATATACATAACACAATATGATTAACTACACTCAATCATTCACCACATGATTCATTGGTATTTTCTTACATTATTATTACTACACAAATATAAAAAATCTAGACCCACCTGAAACTTGGATCCAATATCCCTGCCATTGATAGTAAATGAAAGCTCTCCACTACTGACATCAATTGCACATCCCACAGTCACACCAGTTGCTATGGGCCTGCCATCACCAGAACCAACATCTAAGAAGCTGCCTACAGCAATCATATAGCAATCACGACGCTTGACACTAAAAAAAAAAGAATGTCAAATTAATTAATTCACTGATGATGCCTTGTCTGATGGGAGAAATTTTCCCCCGACTCCACAGTCACCACTCTACTCACTCAGTACATTATAAAGGCATGTTTTTACTGAAAATAGAGAGAGAAAATGTTCTCTTATCATTATAGTTGGTAATTTCCAAGGACAAAAAAATCATTGTTGGCCCGCTGAATAACATATCCATTCCATGCTGAAAAACGTTCTTTGGCACGATAAATGGATTTTATATGCCCTATTTTTATACTGTAAACACGAAATCATCTTTTGAAACGATTTTTCAAAACTTTTTTTTAGCTGGTAGAAACGCACACTTAGTGTTAAAATACACAATATTAATATAAAACAATGCTTTGAAATTTCGATATGTTTGAATTAAATGTTATATTTACCTTTCTTGTACTACTCCAATTTCATTTAATGTGTTCACTCGTACTTCCCTTGTGTCAAGAGCGTTGAATTTATCTTTCATAAAATGGAAGTTCGGGCTCACCCATCCGACATGGACATCACCTGGTTCCTGACCAGGTAGAATCCGTACCGCAAAGGAATATCGTTTGGCATTAGCCATATCGATTGAGTCCACTTCACTAATATCCGATAATATCTCCACAGATCGATCAAAACTACTTCCCATAGAGTTGATTTTGGAAAGCTTTGGTCGAAGTGGTATGTCCGTACTGGTGGAACTAATGCTGGGGGGACTCGGCAGATCCGTTAGAGAATCATCTGGGCTTTTGGAGCGTTTTGATTTGCTTCCTGATGGAGATTTACTTCGATTTCTGCGCTCAACCGTAGAATCCTCACTTGCGCTTTTCATAAACTTACTACGCCTACTCTTAACTGTCAGACCTTCATCTTTTGAGGAGGCATCTGCTTCGGTAGAACTTGCTCTGACAAATGGGATCTTACGGCTGAAGCCTAGAGTGGACATTTTCTTTTTTTCCTTCACGATGTCTGTACCATTTGACCTTTGGCCGGTATCAGAGTCACTATCTGGTTTTGTTGGTTCTGTATTTTAATTATAAACACATAATATTTAAAATTTTGATTAGCTTAGTAAGTATTTTTACGTAATATCGTTACATTAAGAATAAAACTTTCACCAGGCGTACGTACAAGCTAAATAATTGTGCAGCATAACATGTTAAATATTAATTAAATGCAAGAAAACATAAATGGACTTAAAATTTGCAAGCACTAATAATAATTTATTTAAAATACCATCGTATACTAAAAAAAATTAAAGGCCCCTCAAAACTACTTCAACAAGCATGTTATCAATATAAAAAGTTATCTTAATTGTGGATATTAACCCTTGATAGCTTCAGTTGCAAACAGAAATAAATAGAAGAAATTAATATGCATTAGATAATTAGATACTAGTTACCAGAATTGCCATTGATGTTTGTAGTACAGACAAGAAGTGCTGTGATGTATCCATAGGAAGGGAAGTTGGAGCGACTCCTTTTCTCTGGGAAAAGAGAAAGGAAAGTGGGGGGGGGGGAACTGGGAAGGGAAGGTTGACCGACTCACTTTTTCTTTTAAATCCTGTTGCAAGACGATTAATTGGTACAATATCAAGATCTGAATCACTTTCAAGAGTGTTACTATGGTAACCATTCACTGCAATTTATAAGAATATTTATATATCAGAGATATACAAGAACTATTTAATAACCAAGATATGCATTAGTGGGAGTAAACTGATAATCCTTAGTTCAATAATTCCAAAGGTGATGTTAGCAATAATCAATCAATCAATTAATCAATCAATCAAAATAGCTTGTGCAGTGCCAAATTAAATCATGAATTTATTGGTAACCGATAATTATATCATTGATTTTAATAATGATAAGGTAGATAAAATTGTGGTGATTATAAGGATGTGCAAGGAAGATAAAATTGAAAAATGATATTGATAAAGATAATAATGACTCATGATATAAAAAAAAGATAATTATGATGACGATAGTGACAATGACAAAATTTTAAGCAACGATAATAATAAATCATGTGGATGATAAAATCAGTAATGGTAAATATCATGATGATGATAAAGATAACGATGATGATGATGCAATGACCATTATGATGAAGACGATAATGAGCTTGATGATGATGACAGTGGTTATGATAAATATTTTAATTAGCTTTGGTTGTTATTGACTATAGACCTTTTCCTTCATCATATGAATAATCAGTGCCACCAGATTCAAAGCTACCACTAGCCTGATTCATCCAGCCCTTCTTGTCTCTACGTTGTAATGATGGGACTGGAATGGAGACCGCCAACTCTCTATAAAAATAATGAACAACAATTATTATTATTATTACATTATTATTATCATAGAACGATGGCTGTTCAACTCTTCATTAATTCCAACACACATCTTTTTTAACTATTGAATATTTATAGTAATACATTACATAATTATGTCTATTTTATGATAAATGCTTACACTTCTCTTTCTCAAAGTTTATTCAAGTGGCAAATCACTTTAAGATTCCCCCTTTCGAAGCAACGCAAGACCTACATTGCTTTGGGAGCCTGTTGGGTTAATAAGCGCTGAAATTGCATGTCAAATATGACCTTATCCATAGTTGCACTTTTAAAACACCCAATAACATTAAACATATGGTTGCACTTCATAACTTTAATTTCTTTACCATAAATAAATTGTTTACTAATAACAGTTTTCTGTACTTACCCAGATGAGGAATCTTGGCATTCAATGGGCATGCTCAGACGGATGAATTCACAAGGTGGATGCTCCAGTGAACCAGAATTCTTATAAGACACTTTCAAACAAGGTGGGCCTTCAACACTATGAAATACGAAAAAAAACAATAAAATATAAACAAACTCTTCAAAAAAGAATTTAACAATATAACCAATTATTGAATTATTAAATTTTGGGCCCTGTGGAAGAACAGCAGATTTTCCTACTGATTCAAGGGCTGTCTTTTCCCAAATAGGAGGTCTAGGGTTCCCCAACAGGGGTCCTGTACTCCCCTGGACACCCGCTGAAGCTGTGACTGTTTGTTGTATAGTGAATCCCTAGGTTTACCTTGCTGGTATTGTTGTGACTCGAAGTTTCTCATGATCGTCTGTGATTGAGGCAAACACAGGTTGGCTCTTTGAGTACCAGAGAGGCAAATCTTTCTTCATATTCCTAAAAATATAATTTAAAAAAAAAATCTTTGATTAACTAAAACAAATTTCATTAGATGTTGAATATAATGTGTATCTGCCAAACACGTATATGGATGAACGCTGTGAGTAATTAACTCTTCATGTCCATATGAAAACCTAAATAAAGTACTGTATATAAATATACTCAAATTGATGTTGTATGGTATTTAAAATGGTTTATGTATTGGTAGACTTCATAATATTATTTGAGAATGACAATGTGCTTTCTTATAATGTGTATCCATCTCTTACAATATATTTTTAACTTCCACTTCCATTAACATATTTTTTTAATTATTCAACATTAGTAAACATACAACAGAGAAACATTACTGAAATAAATACCATATATATTTTGTTACATTTATTTATTGCAGCAAATGCAAACAGAATTCTGCTAAGTTGGCTCAAAAGCTATGCACTGGTGTACCAAGAAGTAGCGAAAGAAGTTACAGACAACCACTGCCCATTGGCCATGTAACTTAAATTTACAATATAAGAATATATATTTCTATGACACTCCTTGCTCTCAAATTCAAACATTACATTCTTTTTCATTCTGATACAGTAAAAGACGAAAGTACAGAAACCAGGGTGCAAGACATCAAAAATATTTTGTAAAAACATCAACAGTTTACTCGGTTACACAATCTTCACATACATGCTATTAATACATTGTAATATACACAATAATATTTATAATATATAATTGTAATTAAATAAATCAGGTGTGTTGTTGCTCTTCTGTAAATGAGATATTTACCTGGATAAACCATGCAAATTTTCCCTTTGTGGAACCTACCCTCAAAATAGTGGAATAGCATATCTCAACATGAATGCACCTAAATCAATCACACAGCCTAATTCCCTTTCCACTTACAAATGGTTTATCCAGGTAAGTACTTACAATTAGACCAATACATACTGTTTTTACTGAGTAGCATATACAGTTTGACATTTTTACAAAAAAAAACCTACCCAAAAGCATAACCAATCCTTCTGTTGGCGAGCATTGAATATTAAGAGAACCAACAATCTTAAAACCTAGAGATTTTTGTACCTCAGGAAATTACAGAGAAAATCTATTAAACATAACATTCTATATTATTTTATATCTTTTTAAATGTTTATAATTCAATTATGATATTTTACATAGTTTTTTTATGAATGTGCGCTGTATGTGTAGGTTATAAATGTAGCATGATGCTTGCCTTGGGTCCTGGGTTCAAATCGAGATACAGTTAACTTTCCTAAGTCAGCTTTGCCTAACTCGAAAGTCGATCTTATTTTAAATGGCAAAATGTTTCGTTCTCCATTAATTAATAGTAAGTCAAATTTTATCTAAGTCAATGCCATCTTTAATAAGTTAAAACTATATTCCTTTTGTTTTTGCAAAAATGAACACACTCATCCCTAAGCAGGGCACTCACTATGTTATACGACAGTCGTAAGTCATATGGATACAACTGTGCTTCCCCTGAGCGCTAGACGATGTTAAGGCGTCTACTGATTAGATCGGTAGCAGTCGAACGGATCGTCATTAAACACGATCTGTTGGGCGAGCACCATTGCACTGCGTTCTCCATAGGACTCCATCAGTCGACAACCGTCGGCCGTAGTAAGTGCCCGGCCAAAGCCGGATAAAGACTTTTAAAAAATTATTATCTTGAAACTGTACTTAAAGATGAACAGGAAGATTATTTTAGTATTTTTAAAATGTGTGTTCACTAATTTTAATTAATTATTATAAATAGATTAAGTTAGATTTTGTTTAAAAATCATCTGTATATACTTACACACAGAAAGGTTCATATCCCTCTTGCAATCCACACACAGTAAAATACTGCAATGCATTTAAATCCTAGAAGAAAAATTACCCATCCAAATTACATCATCATGTGTTGTATAATATATATAAATCTGCATAACTGACATCAATCTATATGGAGTAACTTATTGCAACGCATTCATCAAATTTAATCACTTTACATTCTGATCCAAAGTGATGATTTTGAAAGGTAATTTACATAAGAGCGCATATCAAATGCAAGTTTGACATTTAACAAAGTACCTGTCCAAAATGCAATTTTGCTTCTTCGCCAGGTGCCATGTTCCAAACCGGTATAAAACCTGAAAAGATAAGATTATACAAATCAATGTGATATTCTACATGTCAGATACTCACCTGTATGCCTTCAACTCAATCCTCCTTGCAAAGCTGCTTAGGGGGCCCAAGCAGGGATGAGTAAGGATAAGTCTCCTGAAGCAACAGCATTTTAACTACATTATTTAAAATTCTTTCAAAAAATTTCTCTAATTCTTTTTTGCAATTTTGTATACAAATTAAAGTTTAATTACCAATCAATAAAAATCAATGAAACATGAAGATCAAGATGACAAACTTAAGTGATTATAGCGCAATCATATGCAATATATCTAGCTTGAGCATGTGGTCAAGACATTCACCTCTTTGTCTTTTATCCACCAGGGTGTATGAATGTGTACGTGGTAGGGTGTATGAATGTGTACGTGGTAGGATGTCGTGGCCTTGTATTAAGCCGGGCACCAACTGCAACCGACAGTTGGCGGCTGACACGATTCTGTGGCGAATGCAATGCCACAACACACACGCAACAGATATTTTTACATGACAATCCATTCAGACCGCCATCAACAATAAGCAGACAGTGGCACGTCGTATAGCACTCGCAGGAAGAGGAGTTAGACTTGTAGGCCGTCGGTTGTACAGCCGTCGTAGGGCGTAGTTAGTTTGTGCACAATGCAAGATGACTAGGTGGTACAAAGTGGATACAATGGCCGCAATAATAACATTGGAAGCACCTGGTATCTCTTGGCAAAAGGCATGGAATAAATTCCTATATTATTATATGTTATTATTACCTTCCTCTACTTCAATATCTCTGTATGCCATTTCTGATCCTGATAAGTCACTCATAAGCTCTCCATTCAAAGTAAAACCTATGAAAACGTAAATAGATGAAATTTTTTTAAGTTTTCACCATGGAGAGATTTACTTAGAACACCATTTTATTTGAGGTAGATTTATTGAAAACAATGTATCATACTACTGCATTCCAGACAAAAAGACAAATATATAGACTCACATTTCAGATAATAGCATAAAGCATTACATCACATTTTAACTATATACTGTATATATTGTCAATTACCGATCCAGAACAAACTTGAAATTTCAGTTAACCTCACTTACTTATTGAATTGTTAACAAGGTCAAGTAGGCAGCCAATCACATCGCCTACTTTCCAGATCTTACCAAAATGTTCAGAGCCTTGGTTCCATTTGCGAGCCTAGACAAAATAAAGAAAATTTGCCAAATATGGATAGTATAACAGCTTCACAAAACAGTTGGTGTTGATAAAAGTCACCCTCTAGATATGTAGCTAAATTTATTTTTATATAATTCAAGTTTATTTTGTGAATACTTACCTGGATAAACAGATAAACTTAGGTACGTATTTATTGGTTTATCCAGGTAAGTATACACAAAATTGACTAAACAAATCAGTATTGATGATGTTAGTCTATGAGTGAGATACTTACCCGGATAAACTAACAAAATAAATAAACTAAGAAATAGACTAAAAACAACATCACTGCTGTTTTGTTTAATATATTACTGTCTTTATAAATGATGATATACATATCACATCATGATGTAAAGTCATGTAGTTAGATAATAACTCTTGTTCAGAAACAGTAAAAATATTGATTAACTCAATCTTTTACCTGGTGGTAGTTTTATCTCTTCTATTAAAAAAAAAGGTAATTTAAGGAAAAACTTACAAGAAATCCATCAAAGACAAAAGCTTTGCCGTCCACGCCAAGGCTGACACCAGGATCAATGGAAGGTCGTGCCCAACCTACATTCATTCTGCCTGCTGTTAGAACCTCAAACTCATAATACCTAAAAAAATTATTAAAATAGCATATAACTGACATCAGAGCATCCATCCCACCCAAGAAGCTGCAACTTAAGGGGTATTATATACAAATTGGTATATACCCGTGCTGCGCACTGTTGAACGAATGGGGGAAGGCAGCAATGTTTATTGTTGAATGTTACAGGAAGTTGAGGAGGCAATCGTTGTGGATGTTATAGTTATGTCATTATGTTTCTAAACGACCTCTTTGTAGTTAATGTTCTGGTTGCCTTTGCTGAATAGGGGAACACAACAGTTTCAGAATAAATAAGTGAATAGAACATAACATTGAATTGAAATTTTGTGAAAAATTAGTGGCAAAACAGGGTAGGCACGTGACCCCCCTCCCACTTGACTGAAAAGTTCATTTAAGGTTCATAAACAAGTAATCACAAAAAGACTTACCATTTTCCTGAAGTTACCGCATAGCTTTTCTCTGAGCGGAACACCCTACATTTCTGTGTTGTGTCTGCCATTTCCTGTACTAGACCTAATAAGAAAAAGATGATATGATAATGATAAAATGATGATAATCATTATAATAATCTTCATCAAAAGAAGAAAATGTGTGGCAGTTTTGATAAATACTGGCTTCACCCTAACTGATCATTTGTAGAAAACACATTTAGAAGAATTACACACTATTTGAAGTAAATGAGAATTCATGGTAGTTCACCTCGGAATCCACCGTCGAAAACCTCAGATGGTGGTGGTTCTAAGGTGTAACCAAAGGCGATGATGGATTTGACAGTCTCAGCAGCAGACGACCAGTTCAACTTCTTAGCCTCATCGTCCAGTTCACTGTAAGGGATCAGCAGTGGGTTCCTTTTGAACGCACCGTCCTGGAAACAAGAAATACAGAATAATGCCAATAAGACCAATAAAATAGAATTAGTGAATATAAAAAATATAAGAATACAATAAAATAATAATGAAAATATAATAATTAAATAATGTAAATATTTTTAAATACCGGTAAGAAAAAATTAATTTTCCTGAAGGCTAAAATTACAAATGATAAGTTAATAAACAATAAACTTATAAAATATAATGAACATGTATGATAAAAATTGAATAATGTAGTTTGTATATCTATTTACCAGGTGAAATCTGAGTTGAATAGTTTTGCTGCAAAAACACATATATTAGTTTCTCAATAATTTGTGGTTTTGTATGAGCCAAAACCTGCTAGATCTGTTTTAAATTAAATTACAATGTCACTTGGTATTTGGGGTTGTACTGAATATTTATGGTGAAATCAGGTTGATCAAAACATCATTCCTTTCAAAATTAAAATATCACTATGATCACGAGTTTGGATAGTTTAGTTTAAGATTTTGCAGTTCACTATTGAGCATCTTTTTAGATGGATACAGGTGCAAAACTTCCATTATTATTATTATTATTATTATTATTATTATTATTATTATTATTGTTATGAAGAGAGTGTGTGTAATATTTTGCATATTATATTTAAACTTTGCCAAAACTTAATAAGAATCAGTGTTTACTTCTGATAAGCCGTACGTCCAACCCTGTTCAATCCTCTCCTTTGCCCATACGTTGTGCGAGTTCTCTGCCAGCAGATCAACCAGTCGCTCCAGCATCGGATTGAGAATGATGGATGACAGATTATAGGGGGCGGGCTTGTATCCATTTGGCATGATGTAACTGAGAACAGAAGGGGTGGTATAATAAAAGAATTTATATATTAATAATAATAATGATATTTCTTGATAGTCTTTATGGCTAGGAAAAATTAATTAATTTAAATGGGTAAAATTTTTGAGAATGGTAAAGAGTGGACTGACATAAATAACTACTGGTACATCATATTGCTTGAGAGAAAAGAACAAGGTTGTTGTCTTAAAGTTTAGGCAAGATTACTCTGAACCTAATACTAATAATAAATAACGATGACTAAGACAATAAAATTCACCTGTTTATAAAAACTATTCCCAGGCTAATATTTGAAGAAATTGAGCAGTTTGCTATTAAAAGGCCACAGTAAGTATATAGTATAGAGCAGTTTAAACAACTAAAGTAATGCAGTGTTGTGTATGTGTACCATCCAACATGGCGACCGTATGAAAGCGCCACCTAGCTTAGCATATATATAATAATAATAATAGTAATAATAGTTGTATTTACACTGTATATAGCGCTTTTCACTAGTCTGAAAGCGTCGACAAGCTTGTACAGCTAAGGGTCTCTTCGTGTCTAAGCTACCCAGTAAGCCGGTACAACCAACTCTCATCTGTCCACTACAGGGGCAGTATTGACCAATACACCAAGTAACCCCCACTGATCTTAAAAGATGTACTGGGTTTTTTTAAAGTGCACATGAGCCAATTGTGTACATTGCGACTAAGGTTTATAGTCCTTATCCGAGAAGACTTGTTCCACCATCAATACCATAGGCATAGTATTGTCTGGATCGACAATCCATCTTGTATGACACACAAACACACACAGGTCTGTGTATTTCAAACATCGAATACATTGGGCATTGGAGTTAGCGCTCTAGTATTCTTATTATAAACTCCATGGTATCTGTATCATTGTTTCTAGTAAATCAACTTTTTCTAACCCATATACAGAATACAGAACATGTCCTTTAGAATTTTGAGACACATGTTCTTAGCAATTTAGGCTACTACAGCACAACGTCGAATAGGGAATGAGGACGATTGTTAGGGAGACAGTTTGTACGTGGCGCCATGGGTCGGACTGTTCTATTTTTTCAAAGGGATGTTCCGTTTTGGGAACAATGGCAATTAGTCGGTTTATCCAGGTAAGTATTCATGAAATAGACTACAGAACATGTCCTTTAGAATTTTCTTAAGATATATTAAGTAATTTTGACATATGACTAAATAAAGCCTAACGATTGTAATATATCAGGAAATGCAAACACCTGATAAAATATATCTTTAATAGAAATAAATATCAAACAGTAATAAAAGTTACTTACTTTAATGGCAATCTGAGCTTGTGCAAATTCTTTCTAGATGCGTCTTCGTCAATACCGAGGTGATAGTGAAGAGCTAATAAAGTCCTAGGATTAAAAAAAAAAATACACAAATAAATTATTATCTTAAATTAATTAAAGGTACAGGAAAAATTTCACGTTTCCAACTTATCTATCATAACAAAATACATATGTCCCTTTCTCATGGAGCGAGGTTCTGTATTATTTTTCTTGCTTGCATTCATTTTCCAATTAATATTTTATTATGGAAATCTCATTGAGTTAGGAAATTATCTTAAATTAATCTGCAATTAAAATCCTAAGATCTAGACTATCACAACAAACTACATTAACATCCCTCTTTCTTGGAGCAAGGTTTTGTATTATTTTTTTCTCACTTACATTTAGCTTCCTGTGTGTTTCTATTTAAAATCCTAGTATCCAAGACAGCATCAGCTTTAATTGATCACATATTTTTAAACTGACTTGCATATATAATTTATTCATTCATCCATTCTTTATTAAGCCAATTCAAAAATATATATTCACTACAATAATGCATTTTGTATGCGAACTCACCTTAGTATTTCAAAGGCCATTGAAATTTAAGATCATAGCATTCAAGCAAGCATCAGCTTCAATTGACCACATACTTTTAAATTGACTTGCATGTCTAATTCATTCATTCATCCCATTCTTTAATAAGCCAATTACAATCATATATATTCACTACAATAATGCATCTTTGTATGTAAAACTCACCTTAGTGTTTCGAAAGCCATAGTAATGTCTGAGTTTCTCTCCTCCTCAGAGAGAGTATCAAATGGCGCTATTGATGGGTGAATTTTCTTTATATCGTCTCGAACCTTCCCCCACGTCCATCCACTGTCTATCTTATTCATGCACCATCTTTCATGGATGTTCTCAGCCAAGTTATCTCGCAAAACTTCTACATAGCCTGGTAGCAGAATCTATTGTACAACAAGTTTAATACCAAAATTATAACCTGAGAGAATCATTGTTTTTGAATTTAATATACAATAGTTTTAGTAACATTCCCATAAATGAAATCACCAACATGTTCACATACACTTTATCAAACAGCAGTCTTCTTAATTATTATTTGATTTCCTTAAAAAATAGAAAGTTCCATTTTTCAACAAAGGGTGTTTTTGCTTGATAGAGGTTGGTTCATCTGCATAAATATTCATAAAATTTACGCATTAAAATAGATTACCTGAGAGGTATCTACTGGTTTGGGTACAAATGTGGTGTACCCACGAGATGCCTCAGGACCGGATAAAATATTCTCGGACAGCTTGCCAAAACCAAAGCATGGTTCAATGCGTAGTTTCTGCTTAGGAAGGATGGACTCACAGATAGCGGCGAAACCTTTTGGCGCTGTGAATTTAAAACGGCCATTCTTCCCGCCAAATAAAAACCTCACACTACAAGAAAAAACAACAAACGATAAAAAAAGATTTAAGATGGCATTTATACAAATACATAGTAATTTTGAGTAGCCTGCATTAATGTTAAATGTAAAAATCCTGAGTAATGAATCTTGTGATTGGTTGTATGATGGATGCAGTATGTAACCTCATGAATAATATTTACCCCTATGACAACTGCTGACCTTTAGAAAGTACTGTAGTCTCTATAATAGTGAAATGGATAAAAGATACTTTTAAAAAATATCCACATACCTGACTTTAGCTGATACTGATATAACTGGGTAGAACATGCCTCGCAAGTTAAAGCCTTCAAACGAAGCTTTGATTGGGTTGCCGTTGACATGGAAAAGCACTCTTGGAATACTCAGGTCAAAACAGCAGCCTACAATGTCACCTTTACTAAGCAGACGACAATTATTCCAATGTGCTGGTTTTGACATACCACCTAGAAATAAGATCAAGATAAATATAAAATATACCACACAGAAAGAAATCATTTGTTATGTTTGATGTAAAATTAGAATCATCAATGTGAACTGACCTATTTTCTTCCATTTGTTCATCTACTTTAAGTGTATTTATAGCCAAATTGATCATAATATACATGATTTTATTGATTTTAATCTCCAACATTCTGATTCCATCATTTTGAAACGCAAATTTGCCAGAACCAACTCTTTTAAATATTCATTGTTTTTTCCTCGCCTTTGGGAATCTATTCCTATCACAGTAGTATAAAGAGAACACTCAATATACAGTTTTAAATCACTCTCATTGGCTTTTTGTTCAAAAGTTTTAATGTAATAATGTTAAATGATTTTGAAATATGTTATTGTATTTGTTTCAAACTGTATTTTATAACATTTTAGCATTTCATTTTAATACGGAACCTAGCGCTAGTTTTGATGTTTTGATTTAAGATAAGATAAGATAAGCTTTATTGGTCTATTCACATATAAAAATACATACACAGAAATGTTTCTTGAATCTGGCATAAACACGTCAACACCAACAAACATCAAATTACAAAAGTAAAGAAATTGTAACGCAACTACTCATTACATAATTTAAATATTATATATAAAAATATTTTAAATATTAATTAAAATTATAGTTATTATGAAAAATTTCATTTAGAACAAATTGAATTGAATATTCATTAAAATTATAATTATTTTACAAAATATTTCATTTACAATAAATTGAAAAGAATTCAATATCAAAAATATCAATTGCAGTTCAAATATATATCAAAAATATAAAAATTGCACATGAATACAAGAAAACTCTAACAATTACATACATATATACACACAAAAATACACCAGGTACATAAATAAACTCGTGCAAGTAAAGAATCAATTATAATTATAAACTACAAAAATAAAAGCACAAGAGATACATAAACTACAACACCAAAAGCAATAACATAAAAAAACATAAATAAACTTGACTAGCATGCAATGGCGGGGTGAGTTTCCAAGTCCAATCATAAACATCCAGGATATTATTATTTATTTTAATTTCAATGATGATACCTATCGTTTGACATTCAAGTTTTATAAATGAATTCCATTGGGTATGGGCGAACATCTGAACCATTTAGTCCTGGTTCGGGAAGTTAAAAATTTCCACTTAAGCTTATTATCCACTTAAGCTTATTATCCACTTAAGCTTATTATATTATTTAGTATACATGAGGATGCAATATGGAGTGCTGTTCTGACAGTGTTTGCACTCAAGGAAATCCTGAGGATATTGTAATCTCAGTGTACTGTTTTTGTTTGAATAAAAAAAATTGAATAAAATAAATACTCTCTATTTAACTAACCATTAAGTTAAACTTTTAAAAATAAAAACATCCATAAATTAAAAAATAAATTTTGCCTTACCAGTCCAGATATTAAGGCCATCAAATCCAAAAGATCCTAGATCATCACCAACACCATTGCTTCCCCAGCCTTCACCTCCTCTAGGATAGGGCCTGAACCCATCCGTAGTAGCCCAGCCAATACGGATATGAGGTGGCCTAGAGTTGACACTTTCCACCTCATCTATCGCTAATTCATAGTACCATTTTTTATATATTGCAGCACCCGTACTTAACCCAATAAATATATTGGGTCTTAAACTACAAATGAGAAAAACATACAAAATAAATGCAATAAATTTGCATGTATTGCATTTCACTATTAATAAACAATGTATAAATATCATTGGAATAAGGGATGGTCTCCTGATGGTCAAGTCAAATAGGAATGGACTCTATGCATGTACAGTATACACATAAACACCTACCTAACAATTTCATCAACTAATGCTGTCTGTAAAAGCAAATCTCGGGCAGGGAGTAAATTTTCACAGATCAGGTTTTGGTTTGCGCGGACAGCGACACCATTGCCGACACATAACGCGGAAAGTACGTCGAGAACCTTGTGATCCCGACCGTGTTTTTCAAGTTGTGATATCATCGACTTGATATGCTGTTCTTTGATGATGTGAAGAGCCTCTGGACTTCCAATTAGCACACAGTGTAACACTTCTAAAACACCTGTGTGTATAAGACAAAAGTAAACATACCTCTGTCTACACCATTAAATTTTATGAGACAAAAAATTGTGATATGCCCATATTTGGGCATAATATTACATCACCATGCCCATATATGGCACATCATTTGTGACACAAAAGTTCAGTGTGGACAGAACCTACTACTACAAATTAAAATTCATTTTAATATAAAACAAAATTTAAAATTTAAAAAAAACCATAAAAAATAAAATAAAGATTAAATAATTTTAGAATTAAATCATGCTTTTAAATCAAATATATAAATTAATGAAACAAATGAACTACAAGAAAGACAGTTTACATGTCAAGAAAAACCTTTTAAAATTCAGACAATTGAGGCAACGTGTATTAGCAGATGATAGTTTAGCAGACAATGTCGGCATCAATTGCTACCATGGACACCGTCTGCAAATTCCACAGACCAATTATTGAGTTATCCTTCTGAACTAATAAAGTGAAGAGTATTTGACAAGCTGAATTTGATAAAGAACATTTTAATGAAATGTTCAGTGAAAGCAATAAGTTTTTTTGACAGTTAGTCCTGGCTAAACTACGTCACCTACAAGTGTTAGAATCTGGTATGACTTATATATGAGTTATTAGAAAAACATTTTACATACAATCACATTGAATTGGAAAAAAAATGCTAAATAAAAATAAATAAAAAATAATAAAAGGACTTTTAGGAAATGAATAAAGCACAGGCTTAATTCGCTGGAGCATTAATTCAATAAATTGTGTCTATATACAATATATATACATGATCTGCTTAATTAAAGATGTGGTGTTATAGCATAGTATTTTTCTTTGTTTTCCCTCATTTTTGCAATATTTTATTCATTACAACATTGAACTTACCACTAGAAGCTTGTTGATTTTCAAGTCTACTGACCAACCAGTCGAGTTTAGCCGCCTGAGCAAATAAGGAACAGTTACTATGGTTATGGCGTATCATTGCAGCTGAAAAAATAAAATTAAAATGATGAATATGTTTTGTGAAGCCAGGTACTAACTGCGTCATACAACGAATCCTACTACGCCCTCTCTGTGAGCACTAGACAACCCAACGCCATCTACTGATTGCGTGTCAGCAGGTGGAAGTCCGAATGAGTTCTCCGTGGAACAGCGTCGGTCGATGTGAGTGCCCGGTTTTTAATAGGCCTCATAAAAAATGGTAGGGAAAATTAAAGAACAACTTTTTCTTACCTATTAATTTATAGAGGTAGTTAAGAATCACCTCCCAGGATTCTCCAGCACTTGCCCCGGCTATAGCACCAAAATCCCGTCCGCTCTTGTACATACTTAGTTTATCAATGGTATCCAGAACTAATGATACCATACCCTACAAAAAAGTACTCAATATTTTATCATCTGTGATGTCTCAAATATGGATGGGATTACAAAATGGGAATGCAATTTCACTTACTGAAAATAGCAACATAAATTAACAAATATCATCTTCATCATCACCATCAGCTTCATCTCCATTATCATACCATCAGCATACTATTCATAAGTAATTATTTTCATCATCATAAGAATCATCACCTTCATAATTCTCATCACCTTCATAACCAGATGTATCATCACCATCATTATAAATAATCATCATATAAAAATCATAATGATCATTATAACAATTATTTTCATTATTATTATCATCATACATTCAAAATAATGGTAACTATCATAATCATAAAAAAAAGCCACCACCTTCATCCTCATCATTATCATTATGATGATCATCATCATCATTATAATCATCATCATCATTATGGTCATCATCATCACAACAATATCCCAACCACCATTAGCAGCCAACAATAACAATTTGACAAAAGTCTGTTCAAAAAAGAGAGAACCCAGCCAAGCTAAATCTAAACAACTTGAAATTTTATGTGCGACTTGATTAGGGATTAGACATGCTAATGTCATTTTACAGAGTACATACAATTGTTAATAATTCTTAAAATGTTGCTTAAGTGTTCTAATGCTACAATCCCCATGCAGATTAGCTTAAAAGTGAGATTAGAATGCAGAATCCTGTTACGGTGGCATTCTCATAATAAATCATTCATTCTTATTTACACCTTGGAAAATGTAAACATCCTTAGCCAGTCGCTCTCTGATTGGCTGTAAATAGGCTTCTATAAATCAAGCCTTTTTGACTACAAAAATTCTTTAATTTATTACAAGCCAATTTAAGAGTCTGTGCAAAGAATATAGAAGTGGTTTTATTTATGCATTTGCTAATTGGAGAGGACAATATCTTCTTGTTTGGAATTTTAATTAAAACTTCATATATCATACTTAAATTTACAAAGTAAAACAATTCAAATATTTATTTTATTATTCAAGTTTCTTAAGCCAGCCCTGTCCAGACTATCAAATTTTATTTGACAAAAACATGTGACATGCCTAAATATGGTCATGATGACATCACATCATGACCATATATAGGCACATCATGACTATATATGGGCATACAACAATTGTTTGTCGAAGTAAATTTTATAGTATGAACATATCTTTATGTTCAACGCAGACAGTATATCTTCAATGGAGTACAAACAGTTGTATTTAACTAGAAAATTCTACAATTGCAAAGTGCAAGCTTCCAGAATTTATGTTTCTGATTGATGTTTTTGCTATGAAATGTTAAATCCAGGAATTATGACAAACCTCCTCATAAAATAAATCCTGTCGATTCCGCAATGCTTTCAATTTCTTCTGTTTTTCTTCATAAGCTGAAAATAAAATATCTCAATCAAAGAAAATTATTATCATAGTTGTATTTTATACGTTGTGACAATAAAGTTTTATTGTATCGTATTGCATTGTATTTAGAACATTGATATGAGAATCGATTTTATTTTTATATCTAGAAGAATAAAAATAAAAAATTTATACTTCACATTTGTAGCTAATGAAAGATACTATTTTAGAAAAATAAGTAAAGAACATAGTCATACCTATATTATCTTCAGGTTCTTCAAAATATGTAATAAGGTCTTCTAAACATTTAGTAAGATCTTCCAATGAGAAGCTATCCCACACTGCTCTGTCGTCACCAACATCTTGTAATGAATCGAGGGCGCTGTAAATATAAATCTTAAGTAATGTTATAGAGTCACCTATACTCATGTCATAACGTAAAATATAATATATAAATATGTAAATATTAAAAATATATAAAATCATGAATAGTGGAAGTGATTTGCAGAATAAAGAAAAAATGGATTGCCGCAACAGTAAAGTGATTTGGAACTGTGACATTTTGGCACAATCGAAAAGCAGTTTGGTACAGTGAGAATGGTTTGGTTTCCCAAACTCAAAGTCTGGGTTCCAATCCTTCACTGTGCATTTCGCTTGTGTCTTTGATCAAGGTACTTCATCTACATTGCTTCTGTCTACCCAGCCGTATCGATGGGTACCAGCAAATTGTTGGGAGTAACCTGCAGTGAACTAGTGCCCCACCCAGGGGGAGCATCCCACTCCAATCTACTTGACACTGGGGATAAGCCCCAGCCTTATGAGCCCTAGTGGCTTTCAAAGTATTTAATATTTTTATTTCTAAATAAGGCAAGATTTTTTTTATACCTTGTTTAGCGAACCCGCCGACTGCAAATTTTATTTTATTTTAATTTTATTTCGAACATCATTTTTATTTTTATTCCGCCACCCCCACTCCGACAATTTTTTAAAAAATAAGTATGTGAAACAAAAAATAAAAAGTCTCGCCTAATGTATAATAATAATAATAATAATTTCATTTAATCGGACTTAAGGGGAATACCTTTTGTGCAATTTACGCCTTAACGTCATGCTATTTTCAATTGTTCCCTAATTTCTCCATTGTCTAATTTCCCCTTAAGTCAGGTTATAGTAACATAACAATAAAAATAATAATAATAATAATAATAATAATAACAATAATAACAACAATAATGATGACTGCAATGTTACTAGTACATACCTGATGAAAGAATGGAAGACTGTTCCACTCTTCCTAATGATACCTGCAGATCGCGATTCCTCTTGTCGAGCTCTCACAACCGAGAAACCGTCATCCATGTGACCCTCAGAATGTACAACCACCTGTTAAATGCAAGTTCGAAAACTTCATACAGGTATTACTGAATGTTTTAACTGAATCAATAACATAAAAATTTATAAACGGCCAATATTACCTTTCTCTCAGCAGCGTGTGCAGAAACTCCTGTCTGAGAAACCTGTAAATACAAATTTGACAGAATAAAACTTTCTCTTTCAAGGACAATATATATTTATTTCTTTAATTTACTCAACATTAGCCACAAGGTCTTGAAAAACATCCTGTTACCATTACAGGAATTGAACCCAGGACCCAGGGATTGGGAAGCAAGCACCTTAAAGACCAAGTCATTTAAGCTGTTATATAGTTGTTAACATAACAGCCTTCGTTGATCTCCCATCAACTTTACCGCATATATTTATCAATTTATTTATTTATACCTAAAAATGAATACATCAAAACTTAATTGAATTTCATGTTTGAGTTACAGAACATATTTCATCCATTATGTGTCTACATATTAATGTTATCTGTATGTCGACAACACAGCTCTTCTTCATCCTCTTTCATCATCACTGCCTCAGGTCTTTGTCATCAGCACTCAGAACTTCAAAGAGCGTATCTAATTCAAACGTGTGTATTTGGCAAGTAAATTGATCAGAGAATATAGTCTTTTGCCTGGAAAGTTGAAATCAAAACGAATCAATGTCTTTTTGTATTAATATCTTGATGCTTTTAAATTTGCTAGCCTACCATGTTTGACTGTGTAGCTACAGCTGTTCCACCTTTTTCTAAATTGTAGTTTTTATATTTAGGTTTAAATTTTGTCATAGATTTTTGGTACTTTCATTTTAATATGGATATTGGTTTCTTTTTTTTTTAATTATGTGTGATCCACTACATCACTCATATCATCAAAATGACAGTAGCCTATCTATCAGTGGCAAGCCTTGAAAAGGGGTGGCTGATGGGGGCGCAAATGTGAAATGAGGGCTCGATGATTAGGTGATGGGGTGCTAGCTCGCAAAATAAGGTATTAATTTGAGGTGATTTTTTTTTACTAATTGAACGTGATTTCTGGCGGCGCAACTATTTTTCAGGAGGGCGTGCACCTCCTGCACACCCCCTAGATACACTACTGCAAATTGAAGCCAAATACAAACATATAAATACCAGATAAGTGAGCCAAAGTTGCGTGGAGTAGTGTTGTATGAACACAGTGGAGTCTCCATACTTGATTTCAGCCTGACGCATTCCCTGTTCTCCTTTGTTGTCAAACTCCTCTTGGTCATCCTGTTAAAATAATAATAAATCAATAAATTTAAACATATATATAT